TTGAATGTCTGTTATATAAATTGAAAACAAATCGTTAAATGGCATATAAATATTTTCTGCATGCTCATTTAAAATTTCTTCAAATTTAAAATTTTTAGTTTAAGAAATATACTCACAATATTTAAAAATATGAATATGTAATCAAAATATGTGGCAATTCTTGGTAGTTTAAAGTTATTATATGAAAAAAGGATTTACCAGAAATTAAATGGTTATTAGAAAACTAAGCAACGGCATTAGTTTATCGACATTTCAGTTGCTGATAGATATGATTCCATTTTTTATGGAAGATTCCGATAAAAGAAATACATTGAAATGATTTTGTGATAAGGAGCTATATATATATTATATATATTTGGGTTGTATAGGTCAATATAATCGAAACAATCCAATACTAACGCATTTTTTCATATTTCTCAAGGAATACTTAGAAAATTATTTTAGAACTTTTGAAGTGTTTAAGTCATGCGTTTTCTCATATATATTAATGAAGTTTTTAGAGATTTGAGGGACGGGTAAAAAATTAAGAACGAAAAAGAATGTTTTTTAATACTTTACAAGGCGAAAGCGAAAAGCTTGTGATTCATGTCAATAACGTTGATTATCATATGAAATAACAATCGTATACATACTAATATAATTAAACTTGTGTTATAAAACAATCTGATTTTTTTAATATTTGAAAAATTGTTAAGCATTCTTTTATTATGCATCAGAAAGTCTTGTTTTAGTTTTATTATACATATAAGCTAAGCACACGAGGCATCTTCAGTTAGTCCACCATCTCATTTTAGTAGGCTTTGCTTTGAAAGATCGTCTTCTCCCCTATATTAGTCCCTGCTAGTACACCTACACACTTGAATAGCCAGAAAAAAACCGGTTTTATGCATATACCCCATAGTAACAGGAAGAGATTGATGTAGTTTCTTGTTTTTCTTATATTCATTATTTAGCTTATTTCCTTTTTTTTTTAAATTTATTCTTCTTTTCTGTTTTCGTTTCTTACTGCTTACGCTGTTTCGAAAATATAAAGTGAACGCGCGACGGAGGCGAAATGCAAATACTTGGGGGGGGGGGNGGGGGGGGGATAAAGATTGTATACAGCTGAAAATTGTATTTGTATAAATTATTTATTTCCGAAATTCTTAATAATAAAGATTTATTTTATTAAATTAAATATTTAAAAAAAAAAAAAAAAAAGAACTCGCAACTGCGAGAAAAAAAATTTAGATCGTAAGGAATAAAATAAGTTCTTACTATTTGTAATTATAACATATTCATCAACATTTATTTTTTTCGGATAAAAAAACTGTCCTATATCTTAATTATAACTGTTTAAAAATATATTGATATTTGTGGATTATAGATATGAAATGATTTTCTTACCGGTTTCCAATATTTCCATTTTGTTTTTTTCTCCCTTCTTTTTTTTTTTTAATAATTGTCGTTGAACAGCCGACCTGATTTCAAATTTATGACTACCAACTCCGTAGTAGCCTTGTATTTTTGAACACAGTTCAGAAGACAAAGTAACTCTTCGATCAAGGGAGAAAATTTGCCTTCGTAGAGGACGTTTTGAAAGAACTAACACGCCTTTGCGTTAGGTGGTCAGAGCAAGTAGTTTAATTTAAATTTCTTCATTTGTATATGAAAATTTTGTTTCCATTCATATAGCATGGATTCTACAAGGCATAAATTTTGTGTTATCCATCTTTCATTTTCCCTACGCATTTTGAATACATTTATTTAATGGCGCTCTCATTATTTTTTCCGAATAACATTTAAATTGTCGAGGAATGCGCGTAATTTACAGAATAGCCTTACCAGGACCTTTTTTCTTACTTTGCCTAAATATCATTTGTCATTCTATAGAATGCCTAGCTATTGCATATAGTGTCTAAGGAAAGTATGTAATAATTTTCATATTTCATGCTTTGCAAAAAAAAAAATATCTGGCATTCCATGCAATGCCGGTGTTTCATGCTTTGCCCCGATAACAAATGATGCATGCATACAGCCCTGAATTAAAGGTTCATAAATGAGTCTTATTGAAAAATTTTACGAAGCATTTTAAAACTTTATTTAATAAAACAGGCAACATAATTTGTCTTTACGTAAACTGTGCAACAAAGTTAAAAAGGTAATATTATTTCACCCTGCACATTACTTTTCAAAAACAATTACTTTCATTTCGTTAAAAATTCTCAAATTGCATTTGAAACATTTTGAGTTCTTCTAAAATGTTATTTTACTTTTTTTTTTTTTTTTTTTTTTTCAAGGTTTGCTATATTGGGTTCAAAATTGGTCAATTTTAATCTTAAATCCCNTTTTTTTTTTTTTTTTTTTTTTGCAAGGTTGTATAAGGTTTTGAAAAATTTTATAGTATTTGCAAAGTTTCGGTAAATTTTATATGATTTCAATACTTTCATAAACTTAAAATTAAACTAACCAAACAGAAAGTTCTAAATATGTAGAATTTTGTTTCTCTGCTTTTTTTTTTTTTTTTTTTGATGCGCAAACATTAATAGGCTTGCTTTTTGCTGCTATTTTAATTTCTCGATAAATATTCCGGAATTTATTTTAGTAGTTGTAAGCATCTGTGAAATAAAATCAGAAATGATAAAGTGGGAAATGAGCTGGAAATTAGCTTGCATTGAAGTGTAATGTCTGGATTACAAGTAAATGTATAATTTTAATCTCGAAACAAATGATATTTCAATAGAACGAAATGAGTATTATCTTTCAATTCATTATCTTTCATTCACTGATTTTTTTTTATTACATAACCTATATGTAAAGTAACATATTCCCCACTAAAGAAATTCAAAAATTTATTATATAAAAATTCGCTTATTGTGTAAAGTAGGATCCAATCCAATCAATTCCTTAAACCAATCAATGACCAGTTTTTTTCGAGGAGCTACGGGGTTGCTTTTTTTTTCTCTTCGCATAATTAGGTAAATAAACGCCTTCATTGTAGGTGGCAGCACAATAACTCAGTTAGCTTAGATTTTAAGTTCAAATTTCGTGATGTCTTTGTACCATTTTTCTCGGTCCAATTTAAAAATAATTCTGTTCTTTTTTCTTTTAAATGAAAGATAAGAATTTAACCTTAATTTTCCCATCTTAAAAACTCGATGAGAGAAAAACTACAATGGATAAAAACTGTTGGAAGTTGGAATGAGTTTTTTGAATTTAAAAAATAGTAAAAAATTTTTTAAATTTAATTCCAGACCGGATAATAAAGATATTTTTATTTCTTTCGTTTCCAAAAAACAGAACGTTATTATCTTGAAAATTGACGATTTTATGCAGTACTGAACTGTCCATAGATTAACATGGGGGTTGCTTTTCTCCCGATCGAGCGAGCGAACGGCCTTAATGCAATGCAAAAACAAGCACTATGCATGCAATTGTATTGCATTATACATAAAAATGCTTATAAATGAAATTTTTTGAAGCATTTATAGAAACAGTTTGTTACGTAAGACTTCATTCTGGAGAAATATGATAATGGCAATCTTTGTGATTTATTCAATTTCATATAATTCTGTTAAAAATTTAATTGCATCAATCACTGTGATATATGTTCTATTAAAAAGGTTTTGAATGAAATGGTGACATATTGAATGAAAAATATCTGAATTCTAGGTTTATTATTTCCTCAACTCTTTGCTTACAGTGTTTAAAATGGTGAAGTGTGTCATTCTGGTCCACTTATTGTACATGCTCTAATCAAAATGTTAAGCAAAAACTAAACATAATCTACATGTCATAGAAATTTCAATAGTAATATGAGTGTTCTTAATTTTTATATTACCTGGGATAGCTGGCCCAAAAAGTGAATTTTGTGATTTTTTACTCCTGGTTTTGAAATTTTTAACTTAACCTCAAAGATAAAAGAACTACTTCAAGCATCGCAATAAATATAATTTGTGTTGAATAATAAGCTTCTACTTAGCGTCTTGTTCCTACAAATTAATATCTTCCTTTTTTCTCTTATTTTTATAGATAAAGTATTAAACTAAAATATTCCTACTAATTTAAATGGTTTCAAATCTTTTCTTTTTTAAAGTTTCAGTTAATGTTATAAATTATAGGCTAAGAGCATTTTGAAAAAAAAAAAAAAATTGTACTAATATTTGTCTTTAATAAGTTTTCTTTTTTTTTTAATGAAATTTTCTTATAAATTGCTTAGCCTCTACTAATGTCAAAATAATAACTGGATGACTCATTTTTTAAAGAAACAATGCTATCTTAATCTTATTTTTAATTGTATTTTATGTTTTGTAATCTTAAGAAATTTTGTATTTTTTACAATAGCATATTGTCACTTAAATTAATTGAAATCTGATAGAAAGCTGTGCTGATGTTTTAGTTTTTATGAATAATTTCATGTTAAAAATATAATTACCAAAATAATTGAACTGAATAATAAAAATAATTCATTTGTTTTCAAGATCTGCACTGATCAGATCTGAGTAGACCGTACTGGGTGCTGAATAATTTCCGCCAGGTTACAAAAAAAATTTGACTCAGTACTTAGTACATCTTTGATTTGAGGGCCATGCCAAAAGACTTAAATGTGTAAGTGCAAAACTTTAAGGCTGATATATGAGAGTATTTGAAATTCTTAAAAATTGAATGCTCTTAAGAAAATATTAGTTAATTATCTTCCAGGTAGGATTATTGTTATTTCTATAAAAGCTTTCCTTATCCAAATTAATTTAGATATGCCCCAAGATTTGTAAACTTTATTTTCAATGAAGATAAGAGCCCCTAATATGGTCAAAGGTGAAGAATTACCCAGTTCAAATGGTTGCAATTTTACACAAATTTTGTAAGGGAAAAGAAAGAAACTCAAGTGTTTTCTATTTAATATGATTTTTAATTTTGCATATTATTTAGACTTAAATGTAGGTGAGAATGCAATTTAACTGTATAATGTTAATGATGAACAACTTATTATATTTAAATGCAAATTATTACTCGGTCAATGGTTACTAAGAAATTCTTTATTTTTCAAAACAGTTATAAATGACAAAAAATAAATTACGTATTTCATTATAAAATATTGTCTTATAACAATATTTCACGTTGTTTAGCTCTTTGTGTAAGATAATAGATCCAGTAAAACAAGTTAAAAATGAGAAACACAGCTGGAAATATCATTCTACTAAGACGATCAATAGTATGAGATCTTCTCCTTTGAATAGTTCTGATCACATCTGGAGGAGCTTCAATTTCATTTTTCTTTGCATCCTTTTTCTCTTTCTAAAATAGTTAAGCCATTTTTAAATTTTCATGATATAAATATTTAAAAATAAGTATGAACATATGGTCACAAGTTAATATTTAAGGAGATAAAAGTTATTGATATTTGTCCATTCAATCATACAAAACATCAAAATCTGTATGATTTCAGGATGAAACAGAGAAAATTTGAAAGATGACTAATAGAAACACTTCTGTGTTTTAACTGGCTATCAAGCAGCTTTTGTTGCTTTTTTTTACAACCACCTTTCTTAATAACGAATTTTCATATTTAAAGTGATTCATTTTTTTTCCTCCTTTTACTTAAATGTTAAATATACTACTCCAAATGTTTGAATATAAAAATATATAATTTTGGATATGATACTAAAAGTCTATATTAAGGACGGTTGTAATGAAGCGTCTTTTATTAATGCATAACTGCTTACCTGGAAGTCCTATCTTCCCAGAATATTAAGAGCTGTGGCCAAATAACAATTTAAGGTAAACTTGATTTATTTTAATTTTGCCCACCCTTTAAAACTTCTATGCACAATTTATACATTTTACAAGAAAAATAAAAATTAAGTTTGCATGTTGTAATGCTGAACTAAATCATTCTGAACTAAATTTATTATATCAATTATAAAATATTAATTCATAAAATTTACTACCATTGTTAAGTATTCAAATAAAAATCTCAATGCATTGTGATGAAAACAGTATGTCATCTTCTTAAAACTCTGGGTTTAAATATTTAGAGCCATAAAGCTTTTATATAATTTTAAATGTATTATGTGTTGTAATATAAAATCATAATTTGTGAAGAAAAAACCTTATTAGTCAACGAATCTTTGAAAATGTTAACAAAATGCTTAGTTATTTACTAACACTTTGAATTTTGTTGACTTTCAAATTAGTTTTTTTTTTTCGTTTTTGCCTATTTTGCTAAATATTAACCAAATTTATAAAAACATAGTATATAATTGTTTTAGTTCAATCAAAATGAACTCGTAGTTTAGCATTTAGCATACATTCATATGAATAGACCCGAACCTCTAATTTTAAATGAATGATGCTCTCAAAAAACAAGAATTTTATCTTCAAGTTATAGTTTTTTCTTTTGCATTTAAAAAAGCAATGCTCAATTTTTTTCATTCTAAATATTAATTTAGTTCCAAACTGAGACATATATTATAAACTAAGTACATCATGTTTACTCTTATTAAATATATTTTTAATTGCATTGTCTTGTAAAAATATGATGCTTACGTTAAAAATAATACAAGAATTTTCTTTATGATAAACTTTCATCCTGTTTAAATAACTGGACGCTGCAAATTCCAACAAAGATGTGAAAACCATGACCGAACAAGCACCAATCCATATATCAATCGCTTTGGCATATGAAACTGGTGGTAATTGAGACCGAATTCCAGAGGCGACTGTCACTAAGCTGAGAAGTGTTGTGACTCCTAAAGCAACTCTTGCAGGGGCAGCTTCAACTGGAACCCAGAATGATACCCAAGATACCATAACTAGCAGAAATGTTGGCAAATATGTCTGTATCAAGTGATAACCATTCTGTCTTACGAAAACAAAACTCACATTTAAAAAGCTGAAAACACCTGAAAGAAAGTTTCATATTATTTTCTGAGTTTGTCTCTAACTGAATTTGCAGCACAAAAATATTTCTTTAAAATTTAGTGAGTGGATAATATAGCAGAGTGCCGAGCCTTTTTAAAAGGATTATTTAACGAAACAAAAATACTTGATTGAGAAAATATGTGAGCAAAATTTTACTAAAATTCGTACAATCTAATAAAACTAATATTGTACCATTATTCGGCGTTACTTAGGCCATTATTTGAAAAAGCCCCCCCCCCCAAAAAAAACCTGAGGGCTTTGCCTAAAATTATTCTGAAGTATGGACAGCTTAAACGAGTAATAAGAAATCAATATTTGACTTTAGTTACCTGCTGATGGTGTCATGAAATAAATATATATATGCTGTTCAAATAATTTATTAATCAAAGTGTTAAAATCTTTTTTTTTTTTAATTTCATAATGTTTAAATGCTGAGTAAAAGTAAAAATCTAACATGCAAAAACCGAATGTGATGCATATCTTTTTATTTTATGTGATTACATAGTTTTTTAGAAGATTAAAACCATTTCGACTATTAAGAGTTTTTTTTTTCTGAAAAAAAAAGAAGAGTATTATGGATTCTTACTGCTCGTTTAAGATTATATTTAAATTATATATTTGAGATTATATTTAAAAATATTTATAGGAAGTTCTTAATAAGAGAGTGGAGATTATAGTTGTAAAATGTATGAATTGATGAAATTATCGTTTACACAGGTTAAGTCTTAAACACACACAGTGTTAAAATATGTGATCCAAACTTTCCTTAAAACATGCAAGTGATGGCGTAAAAGTTAGCAATTTTCCAAGCAAAAGGGCTAAAGTTGACTCAGTGGCCTAAATAACTCGAAATGACAGTACTAATAATGAAATGTTTAAAAAAAACGCTTCGTTATAAAATGAAAAGTTTAGTAAAAATGGAAAAGTTATTTTTGTAACATAAGGTTGAAAAAATGGGATTGGTAAAAAGTAGTCATATCCACTCATATAAAGACACGCAACATGACTTCTGTAATATTTGTGGAACAAAAAATTATAAACAGATACTAAAATAATCATAGGCTTTGGGCGGACCAACTCAAATCGGATGCTTTTAATTTTATAGCCTAAATTGATAAAGTTAATTTATTAAAAGAGTTACTTTTAATTTATAACCTAGATCAAGACTGCGTTGAATGGGATTAAAAGTTAAAACATACATAAGTATTAGCAGTACTTTATTTACATTGCGTAATGGGCTATTGGCGACAGTCAGGAAACAGCCCTGAGGATGATTCGAAGACCTGCCATCGCAATTTTCCTCCATTTCAGAGGTGATGGCTTCCCTGCCTTGGTAACCCAACGTAATAGCAAATATGAAATTCTTTGGAAAAGTTTAGAATGTTCCCCGATTTACTTAACCTCCTGAGATCAAGCTTTAAATAATTGTTGAAAATGCTATTTTTACTTAATATGTAGCTTAGAAGAAAGTAAATTCTCAAAAACATTTAGTAAAATTTAGATTAAAGTTTCATAACAGCTTTCAATCGTTGCATAAAAAAATAATAAAATTTTGATTTTTATCAATTTTTGCTCGTTGTAGGTAATTTCTCCACATTTCAGTCGTGAAACAAAATCTGCTAGACTCGATAAGATATTCCATAAAACTGTTTAAAAGGTTACTTAAATCAAAGTTTTGATCCTTTCCTTTCATTGTAATTAAAAACTACAGGGTAAATCCAATTATCTTTTTACTCAGAGATTTGTAGAGGCATAAAAATAATCTTAAATTATGCCAAATGTTGTCCTATATTAGAAAGAGAGTTCGAGAAAGACTGCAATACCTGTGTCGATATCTCTTTCGAATTCCATAGGCAATTGAGGAAATGTACGAAATTCTGGCACTACGATTTCTTTTTCGAGAGTGATTGGAGTTTCTTCCATCCATTTCACTAATACTTGATCTTTTGTCTGAGCATCTGGAAATGAATAATTAAATAATAAAATGTTACCATCATACAAATTTGTATATTTACATAAAATGTCTTACAGGATCCGAGTATCACCCAACATCTCTGAGTATCCAATGGATAAAGACGGAAGGACATGTGGCAAGATAAACGAAGGGTTAATCTGCAAAAGATTATTTTACACGTTAACAGTGAACCATTTACCAAATAGAATTTTTTCATGCTTTCCACATAATTTTGGTATTATTTATTGCATTTGTAAACGTATATAATTTTTAGCTAATTTTTCATATGATGCAGTATGATAGTTAGCGAAAATCTGTTATCATTCACAGGGCCTGATTATCGCCTAGGCGCTATAGGCATGGACCTAGGGCCCACAATATCTGAGGGGCCTCAAAAAGTTGTAAAAAGTCTAATAAAAGGTGGGATAGCTTTGTGTTGGTTTAAGTACTAAATAAAAAATAATTCAGCTAATCAATGACTTTTAGCAAAAATCACTGATTTCTATTGTTTGTGGTCGCCAACTATTTTTATTTTGATAAAACATTGTTTTGTTGTTTTATATTTTGCTTTAATTTATAGACACATAAACTTTATCTTAGAAAAATAATCTTCAATTGTCTGCTTTCAAAATTTCTTAGAATGTTTATCTTGAATCATACAGTTCAATAGATTCTTTTCTATTGTTAGGACTAATTACTCAAAATACTACGTAAACTTCTGTAATTCAATTTTAAAATATTTATAGGGGGTCCGGAGAATTTGGTGAGCCTAGGGCCAGAATTTGTCTTCATCGGTCCCTGATCATTCATTTTATTACTTTTTTTTAAAATTTCTGAAATTTTTAGTCCAACAACCATAAGAAGACGATTAAAAGTCAGGGATACGGATTTAAGGAAGTTAACCGCTGGATGGGAAGCAAATCGTGATTCTTCAGCACAATTTACTTACGCGAGTCGAGGGTCTTCTTACGGCTGATGGACAATATATCTAAAATTTAAAAAAAAAGTTTTTAAATTTATCCGTCTTACTACTTAAGGATTACTTGCTGCACCCATCTTTTTATTGAAAGGTTTGTCACGAATGAGTTTCGAGATATAACATGAAAAAATTGAATGGTGGAAAATTTTTTGAATCATTTTGTGGCAAAGTAAATGACGAACTATTTAAAACAAATGAGAGATAATGTAGTTCATTGGACAAATTTTTTTGAAAATTTTTTTTGTACAGAATGTAACTACTCAAATAAGTTGGAAAATTTATGAAACATACATTAAACTGTTGTCCATTAATTTTTTATGTGATCGTAAAAAAATTAATTTTTGTTTAAAAATTTAAAATGGTCTACAGCACAGCAGATAAAAAACATTGATAAGGATAAGGCATCAACGAAGTATAAATGAATGCAGAATTTTTCCACCAAGAGAAGCGAATGTTGGCACTGGTCTAAGGTACAACACTTAGTCCCTATAATTTAATTTCTCCTGATATGCCAAACAAACTGGACCTTTTTGTGTTGTTGTTGTTGTTGTTAATTTACGTCGCACTAGAGCTGCACAATGGGCTATTGGCGACGGTCTGGGAAACATCCCGGAGGATGATCCGAAGACATGCCATCACAATTTTGATCCTCTGCGGAGGGGAGACCTTTTTGTGACTCTTTCACATTAATTCAAATACAAATTTTTTGGTTTTGTATTTATGTGTTCTAGCCTGTCACCTACATTCAAGCACAATATTGAGTGTGTCTCGATAATAAGATAATTAATGATCATATATGTCAGGAGTCTAAATAACCGTCTTTATTTATTTTTTGAGCCCTTGTAAAAAATAAAGCTAAAAATCTGTGATTTAATATTCAATTAGGCCAAAAAATGAATATTTAACTCAGGAAAAACCCTTTTAAATTTTGATCAATTCATATTTTGATCAATTATTATCATTACCGAGGTCGGATAAAACTAAGGATCAGAAACTAGTTTATTTGAGCTGACTGCGTTTAAGATTCCTTTTCAAATAAACTAGTTTTAGATGATAAAATTATTATAGTCAGGGTGGTAATGAGACTCACCTCATACTAAAAAGAATTTTTCCATCAGGTGCGAGCTTAATCAGCTTATTTGGAACTGTCATTGAATGAAAGTTCCCAGATTTTAGATTTCGAAAAAATAAATCAGGTTTCCAAATTTTATCAATGATATCTTGTCCATTAAGAGTCATGGTTTCATTCATACCATAGATAGAAGTTTTTAATCTAGGATCAATCCATGATTGCCTCAGATAAATATCCATACCAAAATCCTGAAAAACGTAATTATGCAAATTATTGATACATTTTGTGAAAATATGCATACAAAATCATTTGGGCACAATTAAATGCTAATGCAAAATATCAAATTTCAAAATGTCATGCCAGATTGAAAAATATTTTGCTAATGAAGCAAAATTAAGTCTTGAAATGGATTGAAAGTGCGTGATTATCTGTCTTTTCTTACATATACAATTTTGTAAATTTAACGAAAAACTTTATAGAAATAGTTCAGGTTTAACTGATAACGGAGATGTTACAATTCTAAAAGAAATAGAAAAATTATCAAAACCTGAAATTTAACTTGAAAGAAAGGGGGAAAATTTATCTTTGAAATCATCAAATAATAATAATTTAAGATATCAGGTATATTAAAGAATATGCCTAAAAAATACACACTTTTAGTTAGTAATTTTAAACAAAGGGGAGAAGAAGTAACTAAAATGTTGAGAAAAAAATTGACATTTATAAATGATGGCAAATTATTCTTTTTCAAAACATAAATGAATAGCAATAATCATTTTGTGGGGAAAAACTGAAACCATACGAACTGCTTTCTTTGAAGAAAAACCACATAATATCTATACAAAAAGGACAAGATAAAACGTTTCAAGGTAAAAGTTCAAGGAAGTAACAAGTTTATGATGGAAAATACTTCATTATTTTATTGTTAATAAATTTATTTATTGTTGCAAGTTAATGAGTAACCAGACAGAAAACTTGATTTTTAAAGGGAACTAGCAAAAGTACTTCTCATTAGAGCACTTCAGGCAAGAGTTTCTCTTCCAAACCCGTTTGTAAAATTTACGATTTTTTTTTATTTTTAAAATTTTGGATAAGCACATTACTTAATTTAGAATCGAATAATTTTTTTAAAAAATTTTATACTATTTAAACACTTTCAAAGTTAAACATTTTAGATTATTTGTCAAGTTCGTGCATTTTTGAGCTATAATGTAATTCTTGAGAGGATACATAGGGTCGAAATGTTGTTTCTGCGGTCAAAACCATGAAAAAACATTTATTTAAAATAGATTTCATAGTTTTATACTATCAACCGTTATGTACATGTTAAGTTTCACACCTTTACTCTTAGTTAAAAAGTTTAGTTGACATACCTAAATTTGTTTAAAATATACGTCTTTACTATTACTAGTATGCTTAGATGCACATTTCGGCGATAGATTAATTAATTTTATCTTAATGACTTCTTTTAATCAGGTGTTTTCTCAGACAAGGCAAAAAAAAGATTTTTTTTTCAGGGATAAGTTAGATAAGAAACAAAGAAATTTTGACAAACTTTATTACTAAATTATTCAGTTATCGTAAATTAAAGTTTGGATCACTTTTTTTCCTTCTTGTAAAGTATATATCCGAATATTTTACAAAATATATCTACAGAACTTATTTTAAAAGTGGTAAGTAAAACTCAATTCGAAATATAAGGAAAAAAAAATGTTTTCTGTGTCACAAAGTCAACACCTTCTGTGAGGTTGACATAAGGACGCCTAATTTTTTACCTTAAAAATGGAATAAAACAATATACAAGCACATAGTAAATCTTCTAAGTATTGACTAGACACAAAAATTGCTTGAAATGTCTTTAAAAAATTTTAATTTCTAATTTTTATAAAAATTTTTGGGGAAGAAATAAAAAACAAACAAATTTGAAATAAAAATATTATTTTCTTACAGTTATGAGTAATTATAGTTAAGAGTATAGGGCAATTCCACGGAAGTGTCAACTTATAAGTGAAATTTTTAATTTTAATTTCAAAAATAGCCAAAGTCTACATATTGCCGTTTCATTTTTGATAATTTTAAATTTTTTGAATCTGGGAGCATTCTAAAGTAATCACATGGCTGACAAGTGAATTGTTCACATTTGTGCTCAAATTGTTTTCTTGAAAAATACTTATAAAATAAAAGAAATGTATCTTTCTTTCGCAATATTTTGATAAAAATATGCATATAGTACAAAATTTAAGCATTTAAAACATTATCATTTTAAGTTTAATATATAAAATAAAAGTAACTTCTTTTACGTCATTCCGTCACATGTCTTAATAATGCATAAATTTCCTGAGAACGAAGATAAAATGTGACATTGGCAAGTTAGATATAAAACCTCTTCAGAGACAACCTAATTTTCAAACTGTTGAAATTTTTACTAATTCTTACATAAATAATAATCCTGTTTATCTGTTACATTCTGTTTATCATTTACATATTAATAAAACATTTTTTAAATGAAGACTTTCTTCTACTAAACTTTTTGTCATTCCGTCACAGCAAATAGATGTCAATAACTGCTAGCCAACCTGAGGTTAATTTTCCAAATTCACATTTTACATTGCTTACACATTATACTAAAAGTATAAAATAGTTCAGAAAAATAATAGCTGCAAAATTCGCAGAAACTACCAGTTCTAAGAGGCATGCCAAAATGTCATTCCGTCGCGCAAATAAAAAGTTCGTAAAATTAAAAGTAAAAAAGATAGAAAATCCTGTTTTTTTAGTTTATGAAGCGCATTATGCCAATAATAATGATATGCATGAGAAAAAAAATGTTTATTTGAAATTAGATACATAGAAACTTCAATTAATTGTTATTTTGCAAGTCAAAATGTCATTCCGTCACATATGGAATTGCCCTATATTGAATTATTATTAAAACTATTACTGTTATTGCTATTGTCATTATTAATTTCATTTTTATAAATCCTGTTATTATTATGAATTCTAATATTATTATCACTATTATTACTCTTATTATTAACAATTATATTATTATTCAGTATATTTTAATAATTATATTATTATTATTAATTATATTACTTTTACATCATTATTAAAAATACTCTTATTAATTCGATAACAACCATTAGTTCCATTATTATTAATATTATTTATATTGCTATTATTCATAATGAAACTTTACAATCGGCATCGAAGAATTATTATACATTTTGTTTGGAAGTAGAATTTTTATTATAGTGTTATCTCTATTACCCGACACAATCAATATTATAAGAAGGACAATATATTGGTTCGGCGATAATAGTGTTATAATGTATGGGAAATATATGGCCAATAATATAATAATAAGGGCAATATATAGCCTAGAAAGACAATGTATTGGTTCGACGATATCAATATATTGTCTTTCTTTGGCCTTAACAAAAATTATTGTAAGCAATCTCCTAGAATAAAGTTTGCTAAAATAAAAGTTTTCAACAACATTGTGGAACATTATTCTTTGCTTTTAATGTAGCTTTAACGTCCAAACTTAAAAGTTTTCTAGGCATGCAGATTTTTGCTAGAAAGAATTTTTTTTAAAAAAAAGGGCGTAATGAAAGAGATCTATACTAGTTTGTCTCATAAACTTATTTATTCTTCAAATTTTGCGAAAAGTTTAAAAAAATAAGTAATAAATAAATAAAAATATTTATTAAGAATATGCTTCAAAATTACATAAAAGAACTAATTTACATTATATTTGAAAATTTGTTTTACTGTTTGAAAGTGAAAAATTTTAAGTTCAATAAAAATAATCTGATGAACAAGAACAACTTTATGAAATTGAAAGTCGTATTTTTCTTAAGTTTATTAAGTTAATGTACTAAAAGTGAATATTTTAAAAATTATAACTCAAACAGGAGTAAAGTTGAATATGTTACCTGGTTTGCTGCACTAATTGATCCCAAGCTATTGATGTAGATGTTAACAGAAACAAGTGTAGGTTGATCTGAAAGAAATTTTGTTATTTATTTCAAGTATTTTATAATCCACTATAAAACTAATACTGTTTTCTGATTAAAAAAAACTCATACTATTTACTCCAGATAACAACAAATAAAACTGAATACCGTAAAATTGATAGGGTATTGGCAGAGGATCCAGAAATAGTAAAACTTTTTCTAGTTTATTTTTCTCAAAAAACTCTAAAAGTAATACATTGAAATGCTCAAAATATCATTAGACTGAGCTAGATCAGTTGATCTTCAGCAGTCCATTTACTAGTTGCTATTGACCATCAAGCTTTCTGGTTGCTAGCGACAACCATCTGATCACATGAATAAAGGTCATGTACCTTTAACACTGGATTGCCTAAGGAAGTCATTTTGACTGCATTTTAATTTCAATTAGATAAACAATGGTGTATATAATGACGCAATTTCTTAGAATTTTGTGACTTTTTGTACAATATATAATTTTTTTACTGTTAATATTTACTAATAACTTGTTATATAACTGCAAATAATATAAAAAATATTAAAAATTTATTTTTAACAAATTTCTTTATTCTTTCACAATCCAGTCAATTTTACTGCTTTTGGGCAATATAGTAAGTTTCAGTCTTTCTAGTGTTAAGTGGTGCTTCATTCTTTATCTTTAATAAACCGTTACAGCATTACGAACGTAGTATGTCCGTTCATATAATCTAGTGCAAAAGCGCTGCTACTCTCTACCCTTAAACTAGATTGAAAGCGTTACGAACGAAAACGATTCACTGTTAGTTAGTTTTCTAAAGGAAGATGCAGCAAGGAATCAGTTAAGCATTAAAACAGAATCATTGGAAACCAGAAAACGTTTACAATTGATGTACTACTGAGGGTCAATTGAGCTAGTTCAGCTTAATAAGTTGGGACAGCTCTTTTTGTTTCCAAATGTTTTTTTTAAAGGCAATATATTTCTTATTATCGATAATATATCATGGACTGTTCTCTGGTTCAAAGACATATACACTCATGTACAAAAATTAAGGAATAAAAACAATTTTACAGAGATGAAGTTTGTTTAAGTTAGATTGCATTGCATTAGTAAAATATTATGACGTAGTATATAAGGGAATTTAGGAGTATGTGGTTAAGGCTTCAACAATATAAGGCTTTGCAACTAATCCTGGACTAAAACAAACATGTAGCAAAAAAAAAAAAGATGTCACCCTCAATAACGTTTGAGGGGCATTGAAGAACAATTTTTATTGTCCCAAAGGTCGAGTTGTAGTTGTAGTTAATTTACGTCGCACTAGAAAGGTCGAATTCAAATTTTTTAGTTACATACTGCTGCCGATAATTAGAGTTATAAAATCAGACACGAAAGCGTACTGCTTTTATTTATGAACATACCTTTTTTCTAATCGATTCAGACTTTTAACACTCAAGGTAAAGGTAGCCGCAATCTAGAAAATATGGTCTCAATAAGTTTAGTCAGATTTGTCAAAATTTAGACTACTTAATGTTAATTTTACTTTTTCTACATTTCGCCATATAACTGCTATCGCATCAAAAATATTTATCACTTACCAAAAAAGTTTTGCACATAGTCACAAAACTTGCTTGTCGGAAGATGAATCTACGCAATATGTAATATTTTTATTGTTTAATTTATAAATAATCAAAAATGGAAAAATTTACAATTATCACAAATTTTTATATTCTCTATAACTATGTAACTTGAAACATATTTCCTTGCTCTAAAATTAACAGCAAAAAAAAAGAAAAGCCATAGTATTTTAAATTTTTATTTCTTTTTAAACTACTTGTGCAACTTCGTTCAAATTTTGAACTGAGCCGTTTAAAATTATGTGAATAAGGACTACGCAAAATATTTTGTCTTAAACTAAAATAATAAATTTGCAAGAATTATCTTTACTTAAAGGAATTTTTTAATCTGGTGCAAAAAATTTTTGATCAGTGTTTACAGTTTAAAAAGAATGACGAAATACTCAAAAAAGAAATATCAAATTTTGTCTATTAGGATAATTTTGTCTAGATGGCGCCAAGCCATTTCCGAATTCGTCAAAAAGACAGTAGGAATTTTTCTTTCTAATAACATGCTTGATATTCACACCTTCTTGTCATTTTTAATTTAGCTATTCATTTGTGAATTTCAGTTTTCTCTTAAATTAAAATTTCTATGAATTATGAACGTTATTTAAAACATATAGAAATGAATGGTAAGTTGTGCATGTTTTGTTAATTGTAACCGTAAAGATGTTTCAGTTAAACGTTTACTTTTAATGAGTAGTTATTTTAGAGATCTTGGCATTATTCCCTAATGAGACAGATGAAGTCCTTTGATTTAACTTCTTACGACGCGTGGAATTAACTGCTTTCAAAAATTTGTGACGACGCTATTTGTTAGACTTGAAAACTAATTTGTTACAGGTAACTTAGTAAGCTTGGCTAACTTAAACTAAATTTAGCATACATGTTCTTAAAAATAAGAATATTTCTTCCAAAAAAGAGTTACTTGGCAAAAAATATTGTGTGAAAATTTAAAAATAAATAAATAAAAGCATTGCAAATTTTCAAGTAATTAGAGTTTCAAGAAGTAATTTTATATTATGCATTAACTGCAAAATTAACAAGAAAAATAATCCAGAATTTGTTTTATTTTATAAACTTCGTTGAATAGCCGACCCAATTTTTGGGTTCACGACTACTAATGTTCAACTCCGTAGCTTTGCAAATTTGAACACAATCCAGAAGACAAGGAAACTCCTGGACCAAATATTGGGGGTAAATTTGCCTTCGTGAAGGACTTTTTGATAAAACTAACTAGCATTTGCGTTACATGGAGAGGAAAACCTTTAGACCTTCCACAGTTCACCTGACGTCAAGATGACTCTAACCCATGATCCGTCTACCACTGAGGATGATTTACGTCAGAACTGTGGTCGGTGCGATCCGGTTGCGGAATTCGTATCGACAAGCCATCGCTGGGATTCGAACCCGGGCCACCTTATTGGAAGTTGAAAGCTCTATCTCCTGAATTTATTTGTCAATAGAATTAATTGATCAACCATCTTATGAAAAGGGCCTTAAAAGATTTTAGCAATTAATAAAGTATTTTTCTGAAGAGCGCTTGAAAAATAAATTTCCATGCGCAAAGTTTATTTAAACTTTGTTTAAACGAGTTTAATTAAGATCGATATGCTATATCATACCACATTTCTTACTATTATCAGATACTTAAATTTATATTTCATTGAGATCAATAAATCAATTGGAATTTGTTACAAATCTCCTTGCATAATCTTCAAGTAAAAGAAATTAAAAAAAAAAAAAGCCTGTTAGACACGCTAAAGAAACGTCTAAATCTTTCAAACGTCATGTAAGGCTTCGAATTTATTCAGAAAGATATGGCAAATCAAAATTTATGCGTCATGTTTGTTCTGCTATTAAACTCGCTTAAAAGCATTTTGTACTCACATTCAATTTAACTACACATCATACCAAGAATTTAGAAAGATGAAAAAATTTTATTACGAATACTATAAAAAGAAGAATTGAGCTTCCAATTAAGTAGCGCAAATCAAAAACTCGTTTATAAAATTCGAAGCATCGGTTTTAACACCTATTCATTATTTTTTAACGTGCAATTCCTAAATGCTCATAAAATTTCTGAATAGTAAAACATAAACATTTTTTACATCCAGTTATAGTACAGTACCTTTAAGATGTAGACATTCTTTAGAAAATTTGAATTCTTTTTAATTAAAAAACATTTCGCACTTTTTTTTTTTTGATCAAGATATTTTAAATTATAATACGGCCGTGGTATCCCAGTGGTTAAAGAATCGGCCCCCGGTCCTGAGATCGATCCTTGACTCCACCAAGACCCACCGAGTACATGTAATAAAAGTATTTGTGAAATCTGTTAAATTGAATGTCCTGTGGTCGGTAGCTGAGTAGTGCCATGAGCACAAGGATCAGTTGAAAATTTCCTTCTTTAGATTTATGTCTAAACTGAGGCAGTGGCAGCAGGAATGAGTATGACTGCCATCTATCCATTGGGTTCTGAGTTAAGACGTAGTTTTGCCCTTGGGGTACTCTTTTGTCAAATGAAAGGCGCGCCTCAGTGACTTAAATCACAAAAGACCAATGGCTGGAAAGCTAGGCCTGTCCAAGTGTCATCAACAACAGCTTCAGTGCTATTACAAAAGTCCGCTTCAAACTTTATGAATAATATCGCTAAAGTAATGCAAATAGTTTTTCCTATCGTTTTAATCCCTAATATATGGGTTTATCATAATTAGTTTTCACTTTTCTAAATTATTCAGGAATATTCATCACATATTTCCAAAAAAATAACAATAATAATAAGATTTAAATTTTACAAATAAAACACGTAGACCATGGTTTTTGGGTGCTAAAATTTGTTATATATATATATATATATAACCTCAATTTTAAGTTGGTCAAAAGTAATATGAAAAACAATTTAAATTTTTTCAAACCCTCTTTTAGAAAATCAACTAAGAGTGTTTCCATTGTTTGTTTGTATTGAAATATACAGTCTTTGCATGAACTTTTGCCGTAATTTTGTTCAATTCAGAATTTAGTAAAGCCTTTATTAGAATTGATATCTGATTATAAAAGTAAACGTTTCATGATTGTACGAGACTAGTACATTTAGGAAGAATACCATCACTGAAAAATATAATTATTTAACTATTATTACCACTTTCTTAATAAATATTATTTAATTGAAACATTAAATTATTGAGATAATTGAAATGTCAAGAAGTATCCTATAATTTAGAAAATAAAATTAATAAAATAAAATAATTTGTAGTTAAATTAATTATAGGTAAACAGAAAAAAGTATTAATTAAAAAAAAGTAAGAAAAGAAAAAATGCAACTACGAGAATTGAACTACTAAAGCCACCCAAATCATTGAACAAGTACGCTACCACTAGGCCAGTGCACAGTTTGCAGAATGAAAACTAAAATAATATGTAAAACGTACGTAAATTCTTAACTGCGTTTTGCTCAAAATTGGCAGGCCAGTGCGTTTTTTTTTTTTTTTTTTTTTTTTAAATAGGGTAAACAACACTAGGATAGACTATTGATATACTAAGTTTTCATACCAAAATAAATTTCCTAAATCACGTGCTAGGTTTGTTAATGGGAAAATATTGCACATTGGGTTTTAGCGGGGTGGTGTAAAATGAAAAAAAAAGTGGAGTAAAACAGGGTTAAGAGGATAGAAATTTATTCACTGTTATCCAGACACATGTTTTGTTTCTGATGCAATGAATATTTTCCTGAGACAGTAGAACTATATGGAGACAGTAGAACTACACAGTAGACAGTAGTATTTATAAAGATTTTATGGATAAAAACTTAATAGTTCAGAAGTTATAAGTGTTTCAGTCATACAAAGTACAAGTAACAAAATTTTACTTATTGATAAATAATCAAAGCATTTTGTTACACCCGGAAGGGGCATTCGAGAGAAAGAATACAGTGATGGTACGAAATTGTCTCGCAATTACGATATTAAGAGTGACATCTAAGTTTGATAATATTAAATAAACGTAAACAAAAAAAATAGCATTCAATTAAATAGTTATCATAAGTATATATGTACACATTTACATATGAAAACAGCAAAAATTATCATAAGTAAATAAGTACAAGTCAAAAATAGTAGTTATTATGCATTTCCTGAACAATCAGTTCTATTGTCAAATTTTATTCGATTCAACATAAAAAATACTTAAGAAACAATCCTTCATTGATTCTGGCAGAATGTCAGGTGCGCAAATAGGTACGAGCATAAAATTGTATTCTTTATACATAAAACAGTCATAATTTTTGAATTACCACTATCTGGTAAAGGTATTTGAACTCCCATCTAATGTGTCGAGTTGTTTTCCATGGTTTTAATTTGGTTAGTATGAGTTAGTTGGGAGTATGAACTTTAAGATGTATGTAGATACTCAAGTGAATACTTCTCTCCCAACTCTCTGATAATATCATGTCTCTTCCAGCAGGAATACGAACTCATTGACACATCAAGACTTGCGCAGTCATAGTTTTATGAATTTGGTGTTCTGAATTGACCTTCTCAAAGCCTCTATCTAAATCCCATAGAACACCTTTGAGACGAATTAGTACGCAAATTACGTAGACAGCCAATAGAATAGATGAGTACTTGCAATGAAGGCTCATTGCCAGCACACACTTCAAGTGTGATGAACGCTTGGAAGTCAATTACTATGGCCGTCTATCAAAAACTGGTAGAAAGTCTCCGTGGGCTGTCTGCCATCGATGTACTCGTATAAGAGGAACCAAAATCAGATTAATACCACCATATTAATATTAGTTTTATTCACATAAGTCTCAGAACTGCCCGAGTCCGTACTACTGGGTTATCTGGATACTCTTAGCCAGTACAGTATATCATTTGTTAAAAAATCTTAGAAAGTGCAGTATATTATTTGTTAAATTAGTAGTATGTATTTGTTTGTCTTATTTTACTCCTCTTTACTAACAAAATAGGAAACACTAAGTCGTGTAACTTTTTACCACTTACCACTAGGTGGGTATTTACCAGTTTGTCAAAGGATAGAAATTTTTCATGTCCGAGCTGTGCCATTTTTAAGCTATGTTCAGCATGCTTGTTATATAAAGAAAAAAGACTTTTAACTTGATCGTAATGAAGTTATTATGATTGCTTTTGTACTTTTTTTTATTAGTTACTTATCAAAACTCATAGCTGTTTATTGATGAATGTTTTAAAATGCAATGGATATATCATTGCGCAATATATTTTATTTAAAAAATTTCACAAAATTCTAATAATTTAATTTTTTTATTTTATTTATTTATTATTTTTTTTTTAAAGTGACGAGAAATATAAAAAGCGTTTTGAGCAAAACAAGTAATAACTATACTTACTTGTACCATAGGTTGGCCAAGCTCTTCTGTCGTATTTTTCTAGCAACTTATCTATGAATGCTAAGCGAACATTATGAAATGGTATGACTGTAGTTATTTCTGGAAAAACTGTTTCTGCAACAGTATGATAGTTTGTTGAAATGTTTGAGTAATGAATTTCTGTTCCATCTGCTATGTTACTGCGGAATGTTTCAGGCAATGAATTGTTAAATCTAAAAAAGTAATATATATAGGTTATTGAAAAACGTAATGTCCATATGTTTAATGAAATGTCATTGTTTCACAAAGGAGTTATTTATATAAACCATTTGTAATGTTCTTACCAGAAAAAAAAAGTTTTAAATTAAAATTTTTGTATTTAAGTTTTTACAATGTTTATCAACCCACTTAGATTTAAATAAATCTCAATGAAATGTACTTACATAAAAAAATAAAAAATCTGGATTTTTTATAATCTTCGATCTATTAGTCCGATTTAAAATTTTAAGGTAATTATTGTATATAGTTGATTCAGTTTTTTTTTACCCGGTTTTAAACTTTTAAAAACTTGTTTTTATAATATATGCTAGCTATTGAGCGTTGTTGCCCTCACACAAAGTCACCTTTTTTGAAATTATCATATTCTTTTTTGGATGATGTTTGATATTTAAATATCAAAATACCCTTTTAGCTCAACAGAGTGATGAAACGTTTCCGGTTACTTATACAACTAATGACGCTAATTTGTTTCCCAAAAAAGTAATTACAAGAGAAAATAGTTTTACTTCTGTTATATTTAATAGTCTATCGATACAAGATTAACTTATTATGGTTAATACATACGATTACTATATTTAATTGTATTAATTTCTGTTATATTTAACGGTCTATCGAAATGCGATTAATATATACGACTTCTGTATTTTACAATATTAATTCTGTTATATTTAACTGTCAGTTTATTTAAAAAGTATAAAAATTTCTAACCTATATGAAACTATTAGTTTAGTATGCATTAAATAAATAAAAAAATTGGTTTTATAAATACGGAGAAATGAAAATAAAACGTTATACTTGGTATCATTTCTGGATAACCATTCGAATGATTTTTTCTTAATTTCGTAACTTAGAACGTAAAAAGGTCCATTATTTAAAGGTATAAAAGTAACATTTGATAAAATAATTTTAAATATGATGGATTCAGGTCTGGAGCGATGACTGGCCAAAACATACAGTGAATACCTTCACACTTCCAAAAATCTGCAACTTTCTAAGGTTCAAATAATCGCAAGTTGTTTGAATGAAATCTAGAATAACTGTATCTCTAAAAAAGCAAACACGGGACTCACAGAACATGTTTCTATATGCGAACCAGTGACAAAGCCACTTTTAAAGTCGTAGGTTATCATCCACCTACCGTAAGTGATACATTTTCAGATAATAAACTACCACTTCTCTAATGTTTGTTATCTCGGACAGTTGCCCGTACAATAGTATCCTTCAGGGATACTCTTCCCAATCTCCAATAGTCAGCTATTATGAAAGTTTGATTGTTTGAGAATGTATGTTGGGTGCATGACCACCCTTGTCTTTAAAAGAGATTACTAATTTAAGTAAATAGATGTGTCCATGAAATTCTCGATTTCATAAGAGTTCAGTTGGTTCTGAATTCATTTTAAATGACGACAGTAAGTGAACACAAAGACCACACCATGACAAGTATTTTCTGGAATGTGAAGATATTCACTTAAGATCTCCAGATCTGAATAAGAAATATAAAAAATGGGGAATACTTCAGCATACAAGTTATGAGTTTACGTCTTTTATGAGGGTGTTACACCAAATTAGGGTCTTTTTTACGTGTCTTGGCCCCCGACAATTATACTGTTAGCGTGGAAAATCCGTGCCAATAATACATTGCAGTTAGGAAGGGAGACATTTATTACTAATATCCATTCTTTTAATGTTTCAAAGACTATTTTTCACATAAAACTGTGTGCAATTTCACAAAATAAAAATAGAACAACACCCTGAATAACATTTGCTCTAATGATCAGATTTTTACGTACCAAGACGACATTTTAGGGGAGGAGGTGCTAAAATTGATAATCTTAGTTTTACTTTTCATGAATGTTAAACACTAAGATATTTTCAATATTATTATCGTTGAGCAGTGGTGGCTCAGGGTTTAGAGCGTTCGCCTTCCAATGAGATGAACCGAGTTCGAATCCCAGGAATGCCTGGTCGATACGAATTCCGCACCCGGCTCGCACCGACCACAGTGCTGACGTAAAACATCCTCAGTGACAGACGGATCATGGGTTAGAGTCCCCTTGCCGTTAAGCTAACCATGGGAGCTTTTCGCGGTTTTCCTTTCCATGTAGCGCAAATGCTGGTTAGTTTTTATCAAAAAGTCCTCCACGAAGGCAAATTTATCCCAATATTTGATCCAGGAGTTTCCTTGTCTTCTGGATGGGGTTCAAATTTACAAGGCAACTGAGTTGAACATAAGTAGTCGTAAGCTCAAAAAATGGGTCTTCTGTTCAACGATGGTTATGAAATAAAATATTATTATTGTAATAAATTAAAAAAACTCTTTAAACTGATAGTTATTTTTCATCAATAAATCAAATTTGTTACGCAACGAATAGATTGTTTATTAAATTATATTAATAAAATACAGAAAATAAGGAATGAGTAAAAATAAAGAAAAAATTTCATACTTAAATTTTCAATTTTCGTCCATTTTTTTTTATGAAGTAGATTCAGGGCATAATTAATTTGATAATTAATATCCATGTACTAGGACTATATTAATTTACCATAGTTTAATTAGCCGTAATTTGGAAAATATGGTGACTATAGTTTGGTCAGGAGAGCTGTCGAAAGTTAGGACACCTTAATGTTAATTTTTCTTTTTGCATATTTTGCCATATCTCAAGAACTTTTTAAGCGAATTGAAAATTTTCACACAATTATAAATTAAGTTTATCCAATGATAAATTCCCGCCTAAAATAATTTTTAATAATTATTAATATTATTATTATTGATAAATTATGTTAAAGAATTTAATTTTATGTGGCAAAGTATAAAACCTGAAATAAATCGGTCGAAATGTTTCTGAGAAATCGAATTATAACAATACGACTTTTTTAAAATTCAATTTCTCAGGAACTATTCGACCGATTTCGTGCAAATTTTGCATTTTGCCATACAAAATTACATTCTTTAGAATGATTTGAAATTTGAATACCTTATTGTTCAAAGTTTTTTTGCTATTATTAATTTAAATAATAAATAATTAATAAAAATTTATTTTTGTATTGAATTATCGTTAAACAAACGAATTTCATAATTATGCGAAAAAATTTTTCAGATAGTTTTTAAAAAGTTCTTGAGTCATGGCGGAATATGTAAAAAAAAAATTAACATTAAGGAGTCCAAACTTTCAATCGCTCTACTGATCAAGGGACTGTTATTTTCCGGATTGCGGCGACCTCTTATATTTTGCAGGTCAGGAATTCAAATCCCTTGAAAAAAGGTATGCTTATTCAGAAGAAGTTCGATTTTATGTATCTTTTTTAAAAATCCGATCATTAGATCAAAAGTTACTTAGGTTGTACTGTTTTGTGTTTTCTTTTCTTCATTTGTTTTCTTTTTTTCATTTGTTTTCTTTTTTTCATTAGTCTTCTTTTTTTCATTTGTTTTCTTTTTCTCGTTTTCTTTTTTGTGCATGAGAGCAAGGCCGTTTAACGTGTTTAGTGAAATTGAGTTATGATTTTAAAATCTTGAATGAGAAAAATGACCGTTACGACTGGCCATGTATCCATTACGGTCAATAAGGTGAATATTCCCCGTCATAGCGACTTTTTTCAGGGGTAAAGAGGGATAACATTCACTGGTTTTTTTACCAGAAGATGCCAAAAATTTGCGCCTAAAAATTAACTCTTCCGTAATATTTTGATCTAAATCATAAAATATTTTTAAGGATATTATTTTTATCACTATTTTCTGCCATTATTAATAATTGAAATTGCCGTAGCAAATTCTATGAATTTGTCTTCATTTAAAAATTTATCCAAAAAAGAGGTTGCTTGTTTGAAGTGTGCAGGAATATTATTCCTTATTGTCTGTCAGTGCGTGGCTTAGTTATTTGAATATAAATTTTTTTCCTTCAAATTATCACGATTTGAATACTTAATAAAATGATAAAATCTAAGGCATTAATAAAAGTTTTAAAAAAATTATTATAAAATTGCTTTTTGTAACTGGGTTTTGCAAAAAAAATATTTTTACCGACCCACCAATTTTGATTTTTCTCGAAGGATCCACAAAATTAATTTTTAACCATTCTTTTCACAATTTATCTAAGCATTTTCTGAAATCTTATTTAAAATTTATATGCCATTAAAAAAATGTAAAAATTTTTACCTGTTTTCTAGATTCAATATATAATTCAAAATCATAATCATCACCACCCTTTGAGGGAATTCTTTTTGGTGGAATCCAAATCTTTTAAAGACTGTACAGTCCTACCACGTGGTATCTATATCGTTGTGGCCCGTGATATCGATATTTCCAAATTCATTTTGAACGTAATATTTTTTTCTTGTAAGAAACAATGCTATCTCAGCATTACTCCTGATTTTTTTTTTCTTTTTTTTTTTTTTTTTGCTAATTGAATAATCAAACATTGTTCAGATCAACGAAAGAAAGTGATTTAATTTTTTTCTTCTAATGATATTACAGAGAAATATATAATTATATTTCTCTGATATTGTGAGGAAATTAAAACCAAAAAAATGCTCTAAGCAAACATTTATTTTACCACTCGAGCACGTACAAGCAAGTGGGATTTCACTTAATAATGAAAGAAAGTGATGAATAATGTGACACTGGGTAGCTGTATAAATCCTGTTCAACTCACCAAAGAAGTCCCTTCTTCTACCTTTCTTTGGTTTCCAAAATAGTTTGTCTCCCCCCACATAGTGAAATCTTTTTCTGAGAATCGAAAGGGATTCAAAGAAGAAAAAAAAAGCCTGTCGAACTGTTTCGATAATATTTTCTGTTTGTAGATTCTTTACTCAGAAAAAGAACTTTACTTCCGTTCTGAAATAAAAACTACTTTTAAGATCATTTTCTTCTTATATAGATTAATTCTACAAAATCGAATTAATGATTTAAAAAAAAAAAAAACCTTTGCTTACAGTTTCTGAAAACCCTATCCTGGGTGCGCGTTACTGGTGATTCGAAAACGTGATCTCAAATGTGCTAATTAACTAACGTAGGCGATATTTTAAGTTACGAAATAAGGCACAAAAACGCACTTTCTCTGATCAAGCATAGCTTTTTCTCTTCTGAATCGTCAAAAATTGGGAGTAGCCGTAATTCAGAACATATGGTCCTATAGTTTGGTCAAGAGAGCGTTCGGAAGTTTGGATCTCTTATTGTTAATTTTACTATTAGCGTATTTCGACCTAACTCGAGAACTATTTAGGAGAATAAAAATTTTTTGCACACGACTATAAAATTCGTTTATCCGAAGTTAATTTAAATTAAAATATAATTTTAAATGATTATAAATTACTTTTCAATGTTTTATTTAATAATGGTCGAAGCAATTTTGACTTGTAAGTTCCACAATATTCGCACAATCTTAAAAAATGTTATTTTAAGTGACAAAATGCAAAATTTGAGAGCAACTTGTTGGAAAGTTTAGAAGTAATCAAATTTTAAAAAAGGTAAATATTTGAAATTTGATTTCTCTCCAACTATTCGACCGATTTCGTTCAAACCTTTGACCGCTCTCCTGGCCAAATTATTGAGACCAGAAATTCCAGATTGCGGCTTACCGTCCCTATATTTTGAGGGTCAAGAATCAAAATCAACCGAAAATACATTTTTGCGTCATTTCGAAACTTAAAATATAGTCTGAATAGTTAGTTATAAGCTGTGGGGTGTCATTAAGATTGAATTCTGGTACGTGAAAATCCTTTCATTAGATCGAAAGTTATTCAGGGTGTTTCGTTTTTTGTTTTGAGCACTGTACTGTATTCTCTGAGAAGGGAATCTTCTGCTAAATGTGCTTATTTGCTGAAAATGATGTTTTTATTTGAATTTAAGCAAATTTCTATATCGCATTCAATAAAGATCTGTTTCGTGCACATTTCCTTCAAATGTTTTGTTTCTACGCACATTCTTTTTTTTTTTTTTTTTTAAGACTTGGAAAACTGGTTGTACTTTAATGTCAGAGGCCAATATATGTGTTTGGATGATTTTCATTTTTTTAAAAAATATCTTTAGATTTTGTAGAAGCATTTCTTAGACATTCTGAACTTTTTTCTCTGAAAACGTTTTTACAATCTTGTCTTCATTGCCTCATTGTCATTCATGTGTCGACATCTGGCTGTTGACTAAACTTTTAAGTAAGTAATATGGGATCATTTCTATAACCTTCTAAAGAAAATAAATTCTAAAAATTAAAAAAAAAAGCTATAAAAGTAGGCCAAATACCTGCAGGTGTTTTTTTGAAAAGCTGAAAAAATTAATCAATGTTACCAATATGATAGCAGTAATGAGGACAGGATTGCGCCAAATATTTTAAAAGAAAAATTTGTGTTCAAATCGACAAATAAATGTTTTTCCACAGATATTTTTTAAAAAAAGCAATACCTTCAAAAATCTTAAGATTTTTGTGTATAAAAAAAATCTGAAAAAAATCTAGTTTCCTGATGAAAATCTGAAGATAGTTTTTAGTGAGGGAATTGCAATTTTAAGGGAAAATTCGAGAATCAGAAATTTTGACTTCTTTACTTTTTTTTCTTTTGGTCCTAGACTTTTTTTCATGGATCCTTATTTCATATCCTAATTGAAAAAATTAAACAGTTATTGTATAGTGAATCACGAATACAATAATTGAGCAAATTGTGATATTTGTGATTTACCAAGCAAAAGTATTTTTTTTTTGTAGAATATTTGTATAGCTTTTGAAAGTTTTATTTTGTTTAGGAAATAAATGGAATTTCAAGGAAATTAATGTTTACGCGTCTCGAAAGAATCAAAAATTGCAATTTAACACATAAAAATGATGTTAGGCTTTCCCCGTTCGCATAACTAATTGATCGTTAACACTTGATGTTAATAAGTTCCAGCTGGCAAAGTAACAAATTTGTTTTATTATCTGTCATTCATTTTTACAAATGTCATTCTTCAAACAACAATCTAGATTTTGTTTTATAAAAAGAAACACCTCAAAGGACGAGAACAATAACATTAACTACAGAAAATTTTGAATTAGATTAATCTTATAGACACTAAATATTCACTATATACGCAATGTTCTTTTATATTTAAATAAAATTATTATGATATTATATAAATTATTATGATAATTATTCTGATATATATTAACTTTTTTATTGAATTGTAAAGCATCAGATTATCTCAAACGATAAATTTATGGAAAGACTATTGGCATTGCGCACATTACATAATTTGGGCATTCCTATATTTCACGTATGACAGAAATATTTAATAAGAGCATAAAAAAATACTCAAATACTTGTAAAAATACTCTAATGATGTATAAATAAGTTTAAAGTACTTTAATCTATTTTCTGTTTAAATAATAGCATGCTTCCTTACGTTACTCTTTAGAACATGCATAAAAACACCTAATTGCTTTTTCTTAAAATCTCACACACAGTAACTCATCTCCAAATGAGGAAAAGTTATACTTAGTGCTACGTATAAATAACGCAAAACAAATGGATAAAGTTCAAATAAAGGTATAGAAAGGACGTACTATACTTTCGGTTCTCTAAACAAGAAACCAAAACTCTGTGTGAAAAAGCAAAAATTATAGCATTTTCTTGATTATAGAACCGAAACTTATACTATATCCATTTCTGAGCTTTAATTTGTGCTTTATTTACGTTTTTTTATTTCAAGTTTTATTTATTGCTGCTATTTAAGAGTAATATCGAGTAACCGTTATACTTAAACCTTGTGCTCTTACTTTTGTTTGTCAACATCTAAACACTATTTTTTTTATAAAAAAAATAGTTTGCTCACAGTTAGAACTTCATGAAGGTCCAAAATTGGCCTTCATAGTTGGAAAAATATTTATAGAAAACCGTAATTTATGTCAACTCTTGCCATTAGTCAGAATTATAAATTTAATCAAAAATGTTAACTTGACTAAAATTAATTGTTGTTAGAGCTTAAAATTTAGGTCTATGTACTACTTCCATCATTTGAAAAATGCACCAAAAGTAATCTTACAAAGCAAGTGCATTCTGTATTTAGGAAATACAAAATAAGTTAAAATAAAAATACCTGATTTTTTAATATTACTGTATTACTAGTTAAGATATGCATATCTGCAATTAATTTACATGTAGATGGGGGAGGCAGCTTTTCTGAGTGTAATATGGATTAAATTTGTACCGGATGTGGTAATACTATTTATTATATTGCACATATTACAACTTTTATTAAAAAATATTTTTATTTATTTAAAATTTCTACCTGCTTTTTTGTTATTGTGTAATTATGAAATCACTTGGACTAATTAATTTAAGTAAAGATGAACTTATTTTGCATTTAAATACTCTCTATTGTTTTATTTTCGAAAATCTAGATACGTTTTAAAAGTATAGCTCCTTTCGTTTTTTAAGTTTTAGCAATTAGTGTTAAGCAATTTAGTGTTTTGATGCATGCCCAAAAAATAACGTATGAAATCGGGCTACTGTTTCAACAGAAAATAGATGAAAGTAAATGCTTAAAATTATTTATGTTTTCTTAAAATAGTTTTTCAAGTATTTAAGTATATTCTTATGCTTTTATGGAATAGTGCAATGAAATGCTATTTTCCTATCCGTGAAATATACGACTGTCCAAAACAAATCTGTCTCATTTTTAATAATTTTAATCATTAAATCATTTTCTATAAATTTATTATTTAAGTAAAAGAACAAATCAATTAGAAAATGCTTATTTCTGTATAATTTATATTTGAAACTTGCCTTTTTTGGAGATTGGCTTACATAAACATTTCGTTATAACTTACATGTTTCATGGTAATAAATTCAAACGATACCTTGTAAAAATTAAAAATAAATCGGAAGTTGGCATTACAATGTTTTCATTTTATTACCCTAAAGGTTAAATTATTTTTCAAATTGATGAATAGAATTTTGACTGTAATATTGGGATATCTATATATTATGACTGTAATTCTTTTTGACAAAAAATAATTAAGATAGTTGTATTATGTAATTAATCTTGTCGGATTTATTAAATGGTAAAATCTGAATAATCAATTCAGCAATTGAAAGAGTCTCTCCAGTTAAAATCATTAAACTGTCATCAGTCGATTGTCTAGTGTTTAAATGACATCAATAAATTCAAAATTTTAAAGAGGAAATCTTCTACTAAAGGACGAGCTAATTTTAGGTAAGACGTCATTAATGTGTTGTCATAAATAACAATTAAATGACATTCATTCTTTCATCGATTCTCATTTGAACGAAATTCTTTTCAGATCATCCAAAAATGCCGCAAAATATTTAATATTATTTTGTTAAATAAACTCAAATTCTGTCGAACTAGACATTAATCTTAAAAGAACTGAGAAGCTTTCTTTTAAATGAAAAAATAAGATATTTTCAATACAATTTAAAATGTCAATTTCTAAACTTTTATATATATATATAGACCANGGAAATAAATGGACTAAGCTCAGAAAAATTTATAGTTACTATAATGCGTTCCTACAGTTATATATATATATATATATATATAATATGTTGTGTGTACAGAGAAAGAGCGTTAAAGCTGAATTTGCAAAAAGCGAAACTAACATTAATGAATCAAAAATTAAAGAAATCTGATTACACTAATGGGTTTATATTTTCCAGATAGCGGCTACCCGAAGTTAGTTTTTGTGTCCAATTTTGTAGTTTAAAATGTTGTCGGCACTGACTAGCAGTTACATTTAAGAACTACCATTTAAACCGTTACGATTGCATTTTAATGCTTAAAATTCAGGCATCAGATTCAATATTTCGTTTCGTAACCAGTGCAAATCTCTAAAAATGAAGTAGATTGAGAAAAAAAATTTGGCTAAAATACATTTTCTTAGAGGGAGACACAATCTTTAATAAAATGATTGATTATGTGAAAACTTGTAAAAAATGTCAACGTGTGCCAAACTTTACATACAACGAGTGAAGTTTTGGCACCGGTGGCAGGCTTACGCGACAAATCTGAATGTTTGTTTTAAAAGATAGATTGCATTACTAGGCTTTCTTGGCATTTCTTCAACACATTTGTTGCGTGCTTTTTTGTTAAAAACAAAGTTCAGAAACTTATCCAAAAGCAGTTCTGTAAAAATCCATTAAGAGTGTTTCGAAGAAAGTTTGTTCATTAATCACAACTACAAACAATTTTTTTAAAGATAATGATTATCTGTTTCGATGGAAGTTTTATAATTAAGTTCATCTTATGTTCTTTTTTTCCTGACTATTGAAGTAAATAAACGAAAGCCCTGTTTAGCGATAAAAGCATCTTCAATTGCTATTAACAACTGATGAATAACTCGAACTGTACAACTGACAGGAAAAAAGTATCAATTATTTTTTTCGCTACTTGGTTACTCTTCCCCTACTGGCTATCGCTGATAAGTAGAGCCTACTCATTTCTTCGTAGTCTCTTTTAACACCTTAACTTTTATACTTCTTTCCTCTTTGTTTTAAATGTATAAGAGGCTCAGCACCAACTTGCTTTCGCTCGCCAATATCCAAAACTGCTTGAGGAATTTTATTCAGAAAGCTTCAATGATTCATTTATCCTCCATCAATCAAGATGGAATAAAAAACTAAGGTATTTTAGTCGATTGATATTCATTACTAAAGTACAATTTTAAAATTTAAATTTTTTTTAAATGTTGTTGCTTTTATTTTGCCGTGTGATTTTATTTTAATATCGTAACAATTTTTATAAAAGGGGAAATTAGGACAAAACTGAATCCTCAAGTTTTCTCGTTTCTTTTTCCTATGCAGCTACGTGAATGAAATTGCTTTAATTTTTATTTAAAAGATTTTCTTAAATTTTAATTTAAATGATCCTTAAATATTTCTTACAATCACAACACCATTTAACAGAGAAGAAATCTTATAATAGTCTAAACATGATGAAAAACCCGATTAAATAATTTATGGTAACAGTGATGTTGACTTTACTGAGAATAAATATACAAGTAATTCAAAATTACCGAGTAAAATAGGTAGCAGAAAAAAAATCTAAATTTTTCTAATCGATTTTTTTCAAAATACTAGCGTCGAAGCATTGGCTAATAAATAGTCTACTCTACCTTTCATATTCATTTATAAATAGCATAGCGATTGTCGGCATGTAATTTCTGACAAATATCAGCAGTAGTTGAGTGAAAAGTATCGGTTCCTGGTATTAGCCCCTACCCGGCTTTGTCCAGCTCTTGCTTGCATCAAAAAAATGGTTAATAATGTAAATTTCGTTAAAAGAAACTGCTAAAAAACGATTTATAAAAAAATAATTTATTTCGATTAGAAATGATAAGGAGGAATGCATGGATAAAAAAAATATTAACCTTACTTGAAATTAAATTTTTTAAAATTTATTAATTCCAATTCTATACACGTCTTTAAAAATTATAAATAATAAAAAATAATGATAAAATAAATAATAAAAAATAATAAAATTTTATTGAAATTTAGTTTTATACTCAACAAAGAAGTAAAAAAAAAATACTGAAGAAGAAGAAATTCAACAATGTATTAACTCCAATATTAATCTGAAATTCAACTTCATGAGATCCAAGCTAACAGNTTAGCCCCTACCCGGCTTTGTCCAGCTCTTGCTTGCATCAAAAAAATGGTTAATTCTATACACGTCTTTAAAAATTATAAATAATAAAAAATAATGATAAAATAAATAATAAAAAATAATAAAATTTTATTGAAGTTTAGTTTTATACTCAACAAAGAAGTAAAAAAAAAATACTGAAGAAGAAGAAATTCAACAATGTATTAACTCCAATATTAATCTGAAATTCAACTTCATGAGATCCAAGCTAACAGAAGAAAATGCGAATTTTTACTTAAAAATGTGTAGCTTAGAAAAAACAAACTCATATACGAAATAAAATATTTTTTTCAAAAAAGTCAATTAATTAATCTTAGTTAACTTTTTCAAACACATTTTTAATTATTACATAAAAATTTATAAATTTTAATTTTTATCCATCGGACTCAAATAATATACCATAAAACTGTCGAGATGTTTACTTAAATAGAATTTCCTTCTTTTCTTATTCATTGTTATTAAAAACTCCGACAAACAAGGGTAAATCCAAATTTATAATTACATACCCTATCAAAAACAAAAAAAAAATAATAATATTTTACGCGTACTAAATTTTGTTCGATAAATTGGTATCAAGAGGTTAAGCAATGGCACAGGCAGTAGAATCTACTTTTCTGTCTAAACTGAATTACTCGACTCCGTAAAAAAAGGAACAAAAAAATTCAACTTTGACGTAAAATAAAAAAAAACTTGTCCGTGGCATTTTGTATTAGATTCCTTCTTTACACCTCATTCATCCAGCTGTCTATTTAGTTACATAAAAGACTTAGTTGTCATTTTTTAGAACTCTTACATATTGAAGTTTTTTTTCGTGTTTATTATAAGAAGACAATTACTTTCTACACCTAAATGCATGTTTGACACCTGAAGATTTGAATTGACGGAATAACAAAAAAAGTGTCGCAAACAATCGTTTTTTCTTATTTTCAAATTATAAATCATTTTTAAACACAAATGTTTAATATGATGATTTTGTATCATCAAAGGAAAAAAAAAATACGAAAATGAGCAGAGTAACAATTTTTGCGTTAGTGATTTTATAAAAATAATTATTTTAAGGAAATGAAGAAAAGTTTTCGCGAGACAAACATTGTTAAGTTTGTTTAAATATTTGTTAATTCACTTAAATATATTCAAAAATCACTCAGTAGAAACGGTTATTAGAGGTTTATTATTTTTCTTATAATCTAGCACAATGTTTGATTATGAATGTTTTTTGACACTTTTCATGACGCCCCATGTTCGAGTGTTTTAATTAAAACAAAAAGTTTCGGCGTACGATTTATTTGAAAGTAATTTTCCAGAAAATTTCTTAAAGACAAGGCACAAAGCATTATTGTGGGCATAAATCTTTTAAAAACGAACCATTGACAATTATATGGAACAACATTTGTTACATTTTTAAAACTTGAAAGAAATAATAACATTTTAAGGGAAAAAAACATGATTTTGGACAAAATTTTAAAAATTGAGTTTATTATAAATTTAAAATTCCTGTAGTCGTAGCTTTCTAAAAAAACTTTACTTTTGTATGTACTCCAATTATATATAAAGTTGCAGCAGTTTATGTGCAAGTTGTCAAAACTAGTCTATATATATATTAATACACTATTATTAATACACTATTAGAATTTTCTTTCTAAAGTTTCAGTAAAATAACCGGTAACAGTCTGATATCCATCTGATTAACCATATATGGTTAAAGATTTTTATCTTTACAGTTTCGAAACAGCTTTCAACTAGTACGGTTAAAAAGCCGTGAATAGAAAACTATCAGGTTTTGTAATTATTTACGACTAGCATAGTATTTAAACCATAACTTACACGAACATTGGAGCTCCGTGTTTGCTGTGCCATTTATACGCAAATGATAGTTCCGTATCCTTAGAGTTTAATGTCACCAATTACAGAGTGAAGAACACTGGAAACTCTTCGTGTATTGAAGGAGTGAGAGAATTGTCCTTGTTGCAAAGCTGGGATTCGAACCCCTAATCAGCCTGTCGTGAGTTTGACGGAGTAGCCCTCTCGGCTACTACAATATATATCCAGCCGCACGTAACAAAATGGCTTTATAAAGTGGGCCTATTTGGCTCGGATAGAATTGTGGCTGCTTAACCGTATTACTTAGAAATACACAAAATATGTTTCATATATGATTTGAAAACCTAAAATAACTATACTGTAAAGAAAAAAATATTAATAATTCATCCCGAGTAACATTTCGGTTAATAATCGCATAAAAATAAACAAAATGTGTTTTATATATGATTTAAAAACCTAAAAAACTATTTGTTAAGAGAAAGATATTAATAATTCATTCCGAGGAACATTTCGGTCAATAATTGCTTAGAAATAAGCAAAATAAGTTTTATATGTGATTTAAAAACCTAAAAATAAAACTGTCTGTAAAGAAAAAAATATTAATAACTCTTCCCAAGTAACATTTCGATTAGTAATTGCTTAGAAATAAGCAAAATATGTTTTATATATGATTCAAAAACCTAAAAATAAAACTGTCAGTAAAGAAAAAAATATTAATAACTCTTCCCGAGTAACATTTTGATTAATAATTACTTAGAAATAAACAAAATATGTCTTATATTTGATTTAAAAACCTAAAAATAAAACTGTCTGTAAAGAAATCAATATTTGTAATTCATCCCGAGTAACACTTCGGTTATCTTCCTCGTAAGATTGGAGGTGAAATATTTGTGGTTATCAGATTCTGACTAAAAATAAGGGTTTTCGGTCTGTTTCTAAGAAACTTGTTTTTCTTAAGTGATGTATACTAGATTCTTTTATCACCTTCACTTAAAATTTTTTTTTCATCATTCTGGCTAGGGATATGTTAAATTGTGCAGGCGTATGTATTTCCTTTCGCTTTTTTTAGTTTTCTGTTTAAAATGGCAAATAGTGAAAATTTCTCTTACTTCTACATAAATAATGAAATTAAGCTTATGAATATTAAATATGAATTTAAATAGTTTCACTAACTCAATAAAGATTTCTAAATTAAACTTTATAAATTTTGGGTAATTCTAGATTAAATGCCCAATCTAAATAACTCCTATATATTTTTACTGATTGCAGCAGACGCTGTTTCAGAAGAAATAGTTTAAACCTGTTTATTAATTTAGAAAAAGCGTTGTTTCCTCATGATGAAATGACAAACTAAACGCTTAATGCTTATTTTATTCAGGGGCCAAATATTTTTCGTGAATTAAGTGTTTTTTAATTCGTAGGTTACATATTTTTTCAACTAGTTGGACCTTTATGGTCCATATATAGTCTAATATTTTTTACTGAGTCGAAATATAAAGGAATTTATATCGGAATACCACGAAAAATTAGATGATCAACTCCTCATTATTCCAGAAATTATTATTCCAGAAATAGAGGAAATTGTAAGTAAGTCTAAAACCATTAAACGGTCTAAACTAATCTCGAAGAAGAAAATATTTCCGGCAGCGAAAAGATAAAATAGTTTTGAATTTATCTGATACTAGACATTCAGAATTCGATAAAGATCAATGCGTAGGCTGTAGGGAAGAAAACAATGCAACAATTAAAAATGGTAACTAGATAAGATGTGTAATGCACATGGATAATCAAGCATGAAAAATGTACAAACTATTAAAACTTTTGCCATAAATGTTTTTTTGAAAGCGATGTTTTAAATCTCTTATCCATAAGATTTGTTTATTTGATCACCTCTTTTCCATGCTAAAATTTACTCATTTTTATTAATCGTGTGCATGGTTAACTGTATAAAATGTGTTATTTTAAATATTTGACTTCAAATTTCCTTACTACATTAAATGACCAACGTTCCTCAACAGTAAAGATAGATGACCACTTCTCTTTATATTTTATCATCAATATATCACTATTTTTCTTCTTAAAATATTTTTAGTACATGTATCACAAATTCAAATATGCAAAAGCATTTTTTGTATTCTATTCTTTGTACTTTTATTGCA